CGATAAAGTCCTGGGCCGGCCACGCAAAGTCTCCCTGCGAGGCACCGGCAGTTGTCTTTGTCTGGTACCATAGGATTATGAATTCCGGTTTCGGGTTGAATGGCGAGAATATTTGGTTCCATTCGTCCCCATCGAGGACCTGAGGGCCGAAGTCCATGATCAGGGGTTTGCCGTTCAGTTTGGCGTGATTTGGTTGACTGAAGTACCTGTAAGTCAATGGTTATATGGAATATAGTTTAGAATTGTAAATATTAACAAGTGAAATTTAAAATGTTTAATGTTGATTTATTATAAATTAAATTAAATTTACCATCTATAACTTATTGTAATCAAAGTAGTGAATTTATATTTTGTTTTGAATTGAGCAAACTCATTTGTTATATAAATTATGTCTATTAATTTAGGATATAAAACTTAAATATATTTATTGTAAGCATCCAATAATAATAGACATGTTCAAAAAAACAACTAGGTTATTTTAATGAATTATTCATCGAATGCAAAAGTTAATTTGAAAAATGGCATATTGCATAACTTTTGTTAAACAATTTTAATGTATAATTAATTATACTATAATTTTTAAAGTGTACAAATTTTTTATAAAATAATTTATTAATTTAAATCCAGACTTTTAAACATAACACAATTCTACTATCAATTTGTTAGTATATCTGAGAGACCAATGCAAAAAGTGTATTAGAAAAAATCCTTAATCATTAATATTATTTACATGTTAAGATTAAAGATTTATCCTGATACACATTTGCCATTGGCCACTGAGATATAAATTAATAGACTTACATAAGATGCTTATTTTGTAATTATTAATAATGTGTGTTAATTTTACAAGTCTATCAATAGGGCTGCCAACTATTTTCATGGCCTGGGAGGACAACTAGTCAAAATGTAGCCTGTTCAGGAGGACATTGGGAGGACAAAGATTTTAAAAATGTTTGATTATTAATATTACTATATATTTTTACTCTTAATAGCTACACTATCATTTAAGCCTAATTACAATTCAAATACAATAAACTACTTGTTGTAATCCTTACAATTATTTCATTAATTGTTTAAGGGATGATTACAAACTCGCAGATTATTTTCATGAAATTCGAAAAGTAATTGAAAATTAAATGAATATTTGAATTATTTTAATAATTATCTCTGGGAGGATATTACATTGTCCTCCTGAGACCCTCGGGAGGACTGTTTTTTGTGGGGCCGATTGGAGGACAATCCTCCTAAAGGAGGACGTTTGGCAGCCCTATCTATCAACCATATGTGGATTAAGAATAGACAAAAAGTATACTTTAATTTTGTTTTAAATATAATTAAAAATAATTATAACAAAAAAGTGTAACATACTTGTCGTGGACAAACTGCATGTCCTTCCGGCCCTGTCCGATGTGGTCGGTTATGTTGGCCAACTTGAAGTTATTGTCTTCATAGACAACCGCAAACTCCAGCCCATGGGCGGCGGTACGGGAAATTATAGCGTCGGCGTTACGGGCATTACCCGCGTAATCCTTTTTACCTGACGTGCCCGGCCAGTCGACCAAAATACCGGTCACACCCGACAGCTTCATGAGTCCCAACTGCCAGTCGATGACACGGGTGTCACCCGAGGCGTACGCGTCGATCAGCGGGTGGTAATAGGAGGCGATCTGTCGCTTACCGCCCGACACGATGTCCGGGTTCTGGTTAGCCATCGTCCAGTGGATACCCCACGTGCCACCTCCCGACGCCTTGGTCTCAAACCAGGGCATCATATGTATGAACACCCGTTTGCCTCCCGGAGCGGGTCCAGAGGTGGGTCCCGATGTTGGGTCGGGTCCCGGACCGCCCTTTTTGTAGAAACAGTTGGGTTCGTTGGGAACGGCAGTTACGTTCCAACAACACCCTTTGGCTACACACCCGTCCGGTGTGGTCTTAACATCGCCGCAGTCCTTGCGCTCCGTTACCCCCATTTCGCAGGTGTCGGCCCATAGTTGGTCTACACTTACGCTGAGTAGGCATACGATTAGTATGTAATTCATGGCGTGGTTTGAAGTGTAAAAACAAATGTGAGTTGAGTTGTTGTGTTCGAGAGGTTTATATACCGATGCTAAAGGATCCAGGACAGATTACGTTTGTATTTTATACAGATTTATAGGGATTCGAGGAATTTATATACAGATTTCTAACACAGGGTCGGGATTAGTGATCCTTATTTGTACTGCTTGCACTTGCTCCTTTTGTTTTTTAACATATTCTAGAATCTAGATACAGTTCCCTTGGTTACAGTATTGTATAATATAATATTATTAGAAATTGTGTACAACTACATGTACTGTACTGTGATTCAATGATTAACAAATACAATTAATACAATTTATAAATAAAATTGTTTTAAAATTATTTATGTGTTAATCATTAACTTATAATCGCAGTACAGTACGTGTAACTGTACATATAATTTTTAAGCAAATTTTAAATAACTATTTAACCAACTATTTGATCACTTTTGGTTAACTATGATAGTGACTATAAATATCTTTTTGACCACCTAGATTTGGATGCTTTAGTTATAATTGATCCGTTTCGTGTAAAAACGTCGGATATAGTTTAAAATAAAATAGCCCTGTTTATTATCATAAATGTTAATCAGATACTGCTTAAATAAAATGAATATAATATTTTTCTATTCATAAATTCATATTTAATCATAAATTTAAAATTATTTATCAACTTTTAATTATTTATAAATTTTAAAAAATATTTAGCTTATTTTATAATTTAATTATAAGTTAAATATTTAATGTAGCAATTTATTTAAATAAATATTTAAATTCTCTTATTGTTTTTAAGATTTAATAATAGTTATATTACATTTAATTAATTATCTAAGTTATTTTCATTATACCTATGGTTTGAATCCAATAATTCAAGTAATTCTGTAATATCTTATAAATTTATTTAAAATGTATTATTAAATTTAGAAATTATTGCAGTGCTATATTTAATTATAATTATTTAAGTATTTTAATTAGTTTTTAAATAATTATTTAATAGAATTTATTTTATAAAAGAAACTGTAACCAAATGCAAAATGTTAAGTTTGGCAATACTGTAAGCATTATATTATTGGCACATCCGACGTTTATGCAACCATACTTTCAATTATTGTTGTAATAGGATGTCCCTTAAAGTACTGAATTATAACTTTATTTCACTTAATAAATTATCAAATCTTTAATTGTATAACAATTGTTTAATGTTAATAATAAGTGTGAATCATGTGATAAATCATTGCTTGTACCATTTATTTATTAATCTATTGATTTGTGATAAATAATATACAGCTACAATGTCCCCAATGTACTGCACTTATTAAATCTATTTTTACAATAGATATTATACTGTATTTTTGTCAAACATTTAATTCATGAATGATATCATTATGTTTACACATTGAAAGTGAAATCATATTCTAAAATTATTTTTATATAAAAGCACAATTGCATGAAGTTTTCAATAATAAAATTAATTTCATTAAAGCTCAAATATAAAGTTTAGAAATGGCAGTTCAAATAAAGTTAATTTTATTATTAGTCTTGATTAATAATTGTACAGGGCAAGTTTATGATACTGTTGGGGATTTCAATGAAATCATAAACCATGGATTCACTGAAGACTTGGATTCAAACGCGAAGTACAACACAATCGATGACGTGATAAAAGACGCGACAAAAGAGATGAAAGCATTCATGAAATCAAATCAAATACCCGGAGCTGTGATG